GTGAACTCATCGCATCATAATGTTTCTTTGTTGTTTTTAAGTTTGTTTTGCTTTTCAAATTCAAAATGATGCTATTTTCCTCCAACTTTTCGTGCACTTTGCAATACATTTCCAGTTGTACCCCTTTGTGCGCTCAGCTGACCCAATACAACCCTACGTCCGTACAAATAACGAAGGGGCTCAAATGTTCATGCTTTTCTCGTCCGAAAACTTGGTTTCTCACTAAAGGGCGGCGCTTGGGAGGCGGAGTCACTGGAAAAAAGGAGGAACCACTGGATCTATTCTGCCTTATAGCGCCCCTCCCCTGCACTTTTTTTCCGCGAAAACGGTACAGGGTTGTTCGTCGCGGACCGCACTACCCTCCCCACACCATATTTTCAACTTCGATACCTGATCGCGGACCGTTTCTTTAAAAAGCTTGGAAGACTTTTCTTGCGTCTCTTTTACCTGTAGTGAGTAGGAAAGCGAGAGCCGCTTATCTGCTCTTCTATGGAATGCGCCTTGCAACTTTTTCCATCCAGAATCGCAGTCACATTATTAGAAAGATGGATCTAATCGGAATATGGACCAAACAATGTTCTGACCATGAGCCAGGTGTTGGTTCCTTGACATATTTAGAGAGACGTGGTAGTTTCATTTACACTAGATTACCACTATGATTTACCATGACCGTGCTCCACTGCGAGGCACAATATGAGGGCATCACTCCCTCCCACCCCCCCCCCCCCCTAACAATTCCACTGCTCTGTACACTATTGCCACCTGCGCATGCAACTCCCACTTTCCTACGGCAATGTACACGTTCGGTCCTCACGTCGCGGATACGCTGACCCCGGTTCTATGCTATAGGGGAAATCTACGTAAGCTTGTGTGGAGCCAAGGTCATCAAATTTCGAAAGAGCAGTCTTATCTCGAGCAGTTGTTTAAGATTTCAACTCCTCGAACTAATAAAAGGAAAAAGGGTAGTCTCCGTTGTTGATCAATGCCTTTGGAATGTAGCACACATTGTACTTTCATTCAGAACGGCAATGGCTTATTGAATGCGATGTGGCCTAAAAAATGACTCGAGGCAAGTCGTTGTACAAGTCAGTGTTTTGATCCTTCCAGGCGAATCTGGTACCAAGTTGCCGGGCCCGGGGGTAGAAGGCTAGCTGGCCTGGGCGATGGTCAGTCTGGGATTTGACCTCCGGACCGTACGCGTCGTAAGCGTATCACTCCCTTAGGTTGATACACTCGAGCTGATACTAATGCCACACTTACTGGAAGTATGTCCGACATTTCATCCACCACGATTTGAACGTTAAAAAAAACAAACGCACACAATTGAGCAGCTCCTATGAAACAATCTTCTACAAAACACACATCTAGAACTCAATCTCTTCATAGAAGCTCATAGATGTCTTTGTTTTCCAATGAGAAAATAGTACAACAATCGTCTACATTTCTAGATGTAACCACGAACTAGACTCTATTTCGATCTGGAAGCTATTAGATCAAGATGTCGAAGTCTCGCAGTTCCTCATCAGAAGGCAATGAGGCCATAACGCGGGTCCCTGAAGATATATCATAGCTGGAAAAAGAACCGACACTTTTGATGAATGTTCTCTATAGACACCCATCCCTTTGGCAATTTAGAAATAATGAAGAATTCGCTCCGCACAGGGTAAAATAAATGGGAAACACAATTTTTCTCTACACCACAGTCTCAGCTTTCAGTATCAGACATGAAAAAATCTATGGCTTTATACGGAACACTCCCAAGAGGTGGTTCTCTTTTCCTCAGTGCAGAAGAGGTCGTTAGGCGTGACTCCTCATTGATAGGCTGGCTTTTCAACTAAAATCCTTCCTCGATAACAGAATCATGACCTTGAAGCTGCTTTCTCAAAACCTCTTCTTTCTAGCGCTTCCAAAGGGAGGTCAGGAAAAAAGTGAGAACTCGGAGTGAACAGACCCATCCAGTCAACCATAAGTAGAAAAAAAAGACCACATGCATAGAAGCTCACGGCACTAACGTAGTTCGGGGAGCGGTAGCAGTAGTACGGAAGCCTTGGGGAGGGAAGGGACATAGAAGCGCTGCCGCGTGCTTGCTCTCTCTCTCTCTCTCTCTCTCTCTCCTACCCTCCCTCTTCTCTCTCTCTCCTACCCTCCCACCCCCTTCGCCTCCCCCTTCCACCTCGTCCGAGCTACTGTAGCATCAACCTTACAACAATGCCAAGGATTCACATCAAGCAGCAGAGTTCCATTGAAAATTCACAAACCTAGGAAGGAGGTCTGGACTGATGAGAGGTAATCCTGCTTTTTCTCGTCTTGCAATTTCTAAATGTGCTTCACGAAGAGCCCATTCACGGCCCATTGGCCTGCAATCGGTAAGAGACAAAATAATTGGAAGAATCAAGTGACATTTGAATGGTCCAATTTCGAACCTATACTACAATGCGAAATAAAAATTGGAGTCGTTTTGAAAAACAGGCACCGTGAAGAGAAATCAAAGTGCGAAAGCTCCAGATTCAAAGTCATTCACTAATTCGTTCAAGTAATTGATCAGTATAATCGAATATAAATTTACACATAAAAGAAAGCAGCCATAAATGTTGAAGAAAAGAAGAAAAGGTCCTGAGGAAACAGAGAAAACTTACCAGTCAGGACGAGCAAACATTATGTAGCATGTTACCCATGTGGTCAGGATGGTAAACATGAGGAATAAACCCTGAAACGAGCACACTGAAACTCATTCCGAACTACTGCGTTCAATTTGAATTTCAAAAGACTTCAAATTCATGAAATACAGTGGAAAAAAAGAAATGGTGCAGGTAATATTTGCCTCGTGAATACACATAAATTTTTTGGCGTGCATGGGACTGAAGAACACGCTTATTTCCCAATTTAGTTGTTATCTGAGCAAAACGTCACTCCTTGCTCATCTTTTACATTTTTGAAAGTCAGGTCAGATTTCGGTAGAATTTTTCCTAAATGGGAGGATCTGGCTAGAATTTCACTCCTGTGGGTACTTTAGACTCTGGTAGCGAATATCACATCCGTTTGGAATCAGCGCCAAAGGCCAGTTCCCATGCAGGCGCACACGTATTCTTTTCCGCCAAGCGAATGTGATACTCGTGCTTAGGGGATTTGATTTTTTCTAAATGTGGAATTTCAGAGCAACCGTTAAGCAACCGTTCTCGTGCCAAACGTACGTCGTGGTCAGGCTACCTCAGGGACGTACTTCTAGCAAACCTCGAAAAAAACCTCAGAGTTTGGACCCAGTTTCGAAGAACGAGGGACTGAAAGGCAAATCGTGCAAAAAAACATCAGTAGTGTACCATATCTTCGAAAAGCTATATAGGAGACCGCCATTAGTGCCTCACATATACACTCTTTCGCTGCGAGGAGGTGCGTGTCGGACACTATGAATTTACCGCACGCCAAACTCGTTCTCTGCCAGTTAGTGGATATGCGACAACAATTGGTAGAAAACGAGTGATACGATTTATATGATACACAGTTGCATATGGGTAATTGGAACTCAGTTTGCAATCTTTTAGTTTCGGAACTTATGTGTAACATCTCGGATTGAGATGGGGCCGTGGCAATGATGTAAGTACCTGAGGACAGGTCGTAAAAATGGATGCACCTGGTGATATCCCTAGGTATTTGTGGTTCTCTCACGAGACCAAAC